CTGCAGATTTCTTGTCTCCGGGAAACTGACAGCAGAGTCATAATCAGTCAGGGGCCATGGCACCCCAAGGTCACAGGGGCGCTTTTTCATCTGTGCCTTCTCTTGACAGAGGCCCTGCAGCTGGCTCTTCCCCCAGGGTATACTGCATGGGAACGGTGCCTGCATTGGATGCAGGATGTGTAACAGCAGAGGTGCAGCTGAGTGAGTTCTTACACAGCAAACTGGAAAAGACCCAGCCCTGTACTTTGGGAACATGATGTCCATTATTACGCCAGGTGCCCCTGGCCAGAGCACAATGGTGAGTGGGCCCAGCAGTGCGGAGGGAGACAGACAGATGTGGGGCGGGGCTTGTGAACACAGAGGCCTTGTCTGTGAGGCTCACTGGTCTCTGTCCCCGTTTACCACGGAATCCGGCACTGTGAGCCCCAGATCTGCAGGGTCAGGGTTAAAATCTGGAAGGGACCAATTTACACCACAAGTCAAGACTGAAGGATGGACGAGAAACCATTCAGATTTGTTTCTCTCATATTTGATCATTTAAGTTTGAGGTGAAATACAGGAGTCTTATGTTACAAGTGACACGCACATCTCCTTTCTTAAGATAACTTTCTTCTGTAGGTAATTCACTTGTTTTACACTAATTTTCAATAATCTCTCTAACAAAATGTTGGCATTAGGTTTAGAGAAAATATTCTATGTTTTGAAAGGAAACAGTCACCAAACAAGAATAAAGTCTTGGAATTGAAAAATACGATTGTCAAAATGAAGTGTAAAGTTCAGTAGGAGAAATCTAATGAGAAAACTTTATAAAAGGCAAAACAGAAAGTCAGAATGGAAACAGGTAAAGAATCAGGGACAGTCTAGAAGATCCATTTAGACGATTCAATAGTCAAATAATAGAGATTCCAGGGAGAAGAAAGAAACAGAGAAATAAATAAATACTAACAAAAGGAAAAGGTTCAAAATGGAATGTTTATGAGTTTCCAGATGAAAACGATCCACTTGTTGGGGATGACGAGTGCCAGAGAGGCCCAGCACGGTGACTTTGCAGAGCAGTGGGGTTAGAATAGAACCTGGCTGGGCCTGCAGCCTGGGGCCAGGCACTTGCTCAGCGTAGGGCAGGCCTGCATCCCACCCTCAGAGCCCCCAAACGAAGCAAAACGAAAACCAAACAACAACAAAGACTCTGAACATTTCCGGAGGTTTAGGAAGAAAACAAGTCATAGACAAACAAAAAAGACCAAAACAACACAAAGGAACGGGAATTTGGAAGGTCAAGAACTTCCCCAAAACAGCACTGGAGGGCCAGGGATTTAGCTCAGTGGTTCCATCGCCTGCCTCACAAGTGCAAGGTCCCGAGTTTGATCCCCGGTACCAAAAAAAAAAAAAAAACCAAACCAAACAAAAACAAAACCAAAACCAACCAGCACTGGAGAAAAATTTAGAAAAACAATGCATCTAGTGATTCTGAAGGAAAATGACCTTGAGCCTAGAATTCTGCATCCAAATAGGCAATCATGTGTGCGGGAAGAATCAAGTAGTTTTCAGACACGCAAGCACCAGGAAAATTCATTTTATAGAAACGCTATTTATTTAGGTATTTATGTGTTTAGCAGCATGATCCTAAGAACACTACACTGAGCTACAGCCACACTTCTTTTACTTTTATTTTTTTATTTTCAGGCAGCGTCTCACTAGGTCGTCCAGGCCGGGCTTGAACTTGCAATCTTCCTGGCACAGCCTCCTACGGGGCTGGGGTCACTGGCCCATATCATACCCTGGCCCTGCATGTAACCTTTCCAAAGGACGCAGTGGAGGGTGCGCTGCAGAGAAAGAGAACGCAAGGCAAAAATGAGGTAGGATGGCCTGGGACTTAGCACAAGGTCATCCATTAAGAGGAAGATCCAGGCCTGGCCAAGCAGTCAGCAGCTAGTTTAAAACCAGGACAAAAGGGTTACAGAAGATGAGAGACCTACGAGATGATTCAACGTGTTAGAATGTTTAGAAATAATTCATGGATATTTGACAGATTTACTGGAGCATTTGGAAAAAATGAGTTATAAGTAAATTTTAAAACCTAAGCAAATTAAAATGTAAAGCAAAAACAGGACAATTATGAAGTCCAGGGAAAAGAAAATTGTACAAAGGAGAATATCATAGCTCCTTACCAGGATCTATAGGAATTAGTATTTATGTATTTATAGTAATATAAGCACCGACATAACTACATTCCATGAGTGAGGGAAAAGGGAAAGGAAGTAGAAGAACACTAAACCCTCAAAAGAAAGCCAAGAGCCTGCAGTATGTGAGTTATAAATAGCTGTTTGTGTTGATAATAAGAAAATAGAGAAAAAACAGCTGAAGAAGTTAGAGGTGATTGCCTCTGGTGAGTGGGATGACCGAGGAGCACTGTGGATTATTGTTTCCAACATGGGCCTTTTAACACTATTCTAACTTTGCATGAATGCTATTTTGATAAATATAAAAATGAACGAACTAGTCCTTAGTTGGCTCCATGGTGCATCAGTCTGTTAGGGGTACGGTGACAAAGTGTCACAAGCAGTGTGTAATAGGTGTCGTGAACAGGGTGTGAAACAGCAGAAAGGCGTCCTCCTGTATTTGTCCAAGGGGCAAATCTGAGACTGCTGTCACAGGCCAGGTCCTTCTGAGGCCGGAAGGGACCAGACTGTCAGCGCCTCCCTTGGCTGATCAGCAGCTGTCTTCTCCCTGCTTCTTTGTCTCATCTCCCCCTGTGTCTTAGTGTGCAGATCACCCCTTAGAATAAAACAAGGGCCATGTTGGTTTAGGGACCACTCCGTTGATTCATTTTAATTTGTTCCATCTTCAAAAGGTCACCCACAGGGTTACTGGGCATTAGGAAGGCTGCAGACACAACACAGCCTTAACCTGCAGGGCTGTCAGCCACAGCCCAGGGCTCTGGGGAAACTCTGCAGTGCTGGCGAGCTGCAGCAGTTAGCTGTGGCTGAGTCCTCCAGAGTCCTGGGAGGCCTCTTAAGGCGCTGACACTGACCTGACGTGGGCTCCCCTCAGCCCTTCCAGGACCAAGAATGCTGTTGCATGAAGAGCAAGTAAGAATAAGAAGCAGAGATACAATGAACCACTTGTGGAACTGCCACACTTTGGCTGCATAACTGTGCATCATCCCATGTTTTATGGAGCAGATCAAAGATGGCCCTTCACAAAAATGTGCCCTTAAGGATTGTTGGAAAAGTTTGAGAAAGCAGTAGTGTCCTTTAGTAAAGATGGATCTCTTTTATTTTATTTTTGGTACTAGGGATGGAACTTGTGCTTGCGAGGCAGGCAGCAGAACCACTGAGCTAAATCCCCGGCCTATTTTATTTTATTTTATATGGAGGATTGAATAGTAAGTCTTTGTGTAGGGCTACATCCTCAGCCTTTTACATTTTTCCACAGGGTCTTTGTGGCTCCTAGGTTGTCCAGGCTGGGCTTCAACTTGTGATCCTCCTGTCTCAGGCTCCACACCTGGCTCCAAAGATAGATCTTTATAGTCTTCCCACTCAATCGTGAGTTATTTGAATAATCCGACGTCCTGCTATTTTGTGATCAGAAAGAAAGTCCTGACAGCCAGTGCCCCCATCTTTAAGTTTCCTTGGGGCCTGGACCACAGGCACTGACCTGGCACAGCCCTCCCTGTGCTGCTCCCACTGGGTTCATTCTTCACCCCGACCCAGTGAGGTGGGGCCTTAGCTCTGCCAAGGAGCAGGGTTTCCAGAGCTCGGGCTCCGAGCTTCCTCGCTTTATCCCCAGTCCTCAGCCATGTTCTCCACAGTGTGACAGGACGCAGACCCCACAGTGGGAGAGAAGCACTCAAATATTTATAACTCAGGGCACAGAGAAAGGTGCTTGATTAGCCATTGAGCTACTGCAAGGCGAGAGTTCTGCTGAGTGCTTGCAGTCTCATTGTCTCAGGGTTCCGAAGTTCTCTCTCTGGCTGATTCTTTTTTTTTTTTTTTTTTGCATACATTGAAACCAGGGCCCCACAAGAAATTTGTTGATAATGTTGACATTTATAGTTCACCATCTCTCAGTGGGTTCTGGAAATTCAAGAGGTAAGGTTGCTGCTTGGATGGATTGGTTTCAGAAATATCCTTTCAGCGTCCCAGTCATCTGGGAGTAGTTCTACACACAAAGAAGAACACTTGGCAGAAGCATACAGTTATAGGACCCATGAAATTTAATAGAACAGAACAGAGACTTGATAGCATGGCCCTCAAATTTTAGCAAAATGATAAGAAAATGTCCAAGACTAGTCAATATTGTTTTAGCCAAGTGAGATTCATTATTTATAAAAATCACCCACCATAAGGTAAGGTTTATAGAAGTTTTCCTAAATTTGAATGTAATTGTCATAGGCTCTTCCAAATTCATAGTTGTAACTAGGCTAGATTAGATTTTTCTCCTGTATATGCACATGTTGGTCTTGGGGTGTATGTGTGTGGGGATGGGGTGTGGATGAGCAATCAATCTGCACGGAGTATGCAAACCGAAGTCCAAGGAGAGGCCTTGTTCGTGTGGCTCCGTGTCCACGGCGTGCGGTGTAGCTCAGGATGTGTGGGTGAGGTTTGGTGCACAGGGTGGGGTGGCAACTGTTGGTGGAAGGGTGAGGGGCTGGGCAGACCTGGCTTGTGGGTTGATGTGGGGTAGAGGTGGTCTGGAATGGGCTTTGGCAATGCATGCAGTTTCACATGTGGTACTGACAGCACGGGAGGCTGCGGGGTGTACGAGGGGCCGTGGTGTGTATGGTGCGTGTGTTTGAGGGCATGTGTGATGTCTGTGGCTTAGCGTGGCTTAGCTTTTGTTTAGATTTTCTTTTGCTCTTTGTTTGTCTTTGCCCTTTGTTTTATTTTTGTTTCACTCTTTGTTTAAACTTTCTTTGGCTTTTGTTTGGTCTTTCTTTAGCCTTTTGTTGAACTTGTGTGGCCTTTTTGTAGTCTCTGTGTAGCTTTTGTTTTAAAGTGGATCTTGGCTGAGGACCATCAAAAACACCTTGTGTGATGAAAAACCCAGATGCACAGCCTCTCCCTATATATGGCCTGTGTTGAGGTAGCCTCAGCCCCTCAGGGATCTGGTATAGATGAGGAATCTGTGACACAGGACAACTGCAGTTGGAGGTAAGCAGACTTGGGGTTTCTACGGACTTCACTTGCTCTTCATCCTCAGGTGGAGACAGCACGCTGCTGGCTGGGCCGTTTTCTTATATAGCAGGAGGACCCGCTGGAAGGCCAGCAGGGTTGGGGCCATCCGAGAATGGAAGGAACAAAGCCAAGGAAGGACAGCCAGTTTACTCCAGGGTGGACAGAGGCTCTCTTTGAACAACACTGTTCATGTGTGGGATCTGCCTGGGCCTGCAGAGCGCTCTGAGCCCCAACTTGGATTTCCCCTGTTGATGGGGTGAGGCCAGTGGTGCTACTGGCTTCTAGTTCCCCGATTTCTTCTTTTAGGGTTTTTCATGATTTGAAAATGAATTCTTCCTCTTACCTGGGAACAGCTACTTCCCTCTGCCCCATGGCTGGATTTCTTTGTGTGGGCTGTCAGTGGGGGCCAACAGGGACCGTGGCCCTGGATGGAGAGACCCACACATGCCCTGGTCTGCTCAGTGTCTCTCACTGGGAATTTCCAGTCCTGTGGTGACAGGAAAAGGAGAGAAAAGATCGTATGCCAGGGAAATGAGGTAATGAACTTGGCTGGAATGCCAGAAAGAAAGCGGAGAAAAGGATTTTTGATGTTGGTGAATAAAACAGGGAGGAAGAAAAACAGCAACAGCCAGGTGTGCAATACGCTGTTTTGTCACCATGTAGAATGGCAAGGCAGTTTCTGGTGTGTGGATTTCAAAAATTACTTCAAATTTATACAAGAGTTACAAACAGAACAAAAAATTCTAGATGTGCTAGCTTAACCAAATGTTAAGATTTTACACATCCGCTTTATCATGATCACTGTAAGCCTACATATACATGCATATTATTTTTTCTGAGCCATTTAAGATTAAATTTCAGACATCATCAAAATCAGAAAATTTACCTTGAGAAAAATGCTATTATGTAGCCTAGAGGCACCCGGAGCTCATCAGTTAGGCAGGAGCCAGGCTGGAGTCACGGGCTGCCTTGGGCTGTCTCTTTGGTGTTCCTCTGTCTGGGACCTTCTCTGAGACTGTCATGGCCAGGACAGTTCAGGAGACCATAGTCTGGCTGTGTTGTTAAGCGTCTCCTCGAAACTAATTTAACTAATACTTACTAGGATTTTAAATGAGTACCTGAGAACTTTGCACATGAAATCACGAAAAATGACAAATCTAGAAATTTTACAGATAGCTCCAAGCGTCACCAACAGTGTGTCGGGCTGCTCTTTGGCTCTGACAGCCAGTGGCAGTCATCTCTTCATGAATTTGATAGCCTTAGATTTGTCATTCCTTTCCGAGCACAGCTATCTGCTGGCTCGGTTCAGGGATGAGCAGCCCTCGCAGCCACTCCGGCCGGCCGGTGTCAGCAGCAGGCTGACGGCTGTGTGCTAAGGGAGGGCCACCCTGAAGGGTGCGGCAGGCTCCTGATCCAGGGTCCCCTCCGTGTCCCTGCTCCCACATTCTGGCATAGAACTCTCCTTCTGTGGGGTCAGGAGTCACAGCTCTGAGATCCCTGCAGTGTACCTGCAATTCCTAAGACGAATATTCTCCAAAAACAATCTGTGAAGATCCATTCTTCTGTCTTTCAACTTTTGGATTTTCTCCTAACTCCTACACTCCTACGTCCTCTCTCCCCTTTGGCTTTCTCCCTGCATAGAGGTTTGAAATTGTCTTTAGGGAGAAAAACAGGACCAATGAGGGGTTTACCTCCTTTGCTTTCTTCCACTCGAGGTTTATAGCTCTGTAATGTTCCACATTCAGTGCTTGAAAATCATTTTTCAAAACGTCACTATGGCATATTAATTCTACAGAATGAAGGGCTCCGTTCTGGCATCTTGGTATATGTATATAACACATCTGAGTATTTCCACCCTTCATTTCCCTCTCTGTTCCCTCTCCCAGCCCCTTCCTTGGCTTTGTCTTCCTTCTACTTTCATGTAGTCTGCCTTTCTCTCTTTTCTTCCTAGATTCCCCAGATGAGAGAAAACATCTGATATTTTACTTTCTGAGCCTGGCTTATTTTGCCTGAAATGATACCCTTCAACTTCATTTATTTTCCTGTAAATCAATGAGAAAATAATTCTGTTGCATATTTTGTCCGGCTTTATTGTTTTCAGTGGGAGCATAGATTCAATAACTATTAGTATAGCATGGCTAAATTTTGTTTGACAAGAAAGCTTACAGAATCAGAATTTCAATTATTCTTTAAGCAAATGGGAAAAGAGGAACTTGCTGTAAATCTTAATCTGATTTGACTGAGAAGTGTTCAAAGATTTTCTGTGTTGGACCCAAGGTCTCACTACGTAGTCCAGGCTGTCCTCGAACTCCCAACACTCCTCCTGGCTCAGCCTCTAGACTGCTAGGGTTACAGGTGTGCACCACCCTGCCCAACTCTTCAAAGATTTATAAATTAGTTATGCAGAGTTGCCAATTACTTCATATTACTAGAATAACAAATTATCTACTAAGACAACCAATCAGAGTTACAGATTTCTTTGGGGGTTATTTTTGTGTTTAGAATTTTCATAATCTTATAAGACTCCTTTGTTCAGATGCAACTTCCAAGATCTGATATTATCAAGAAGGAGTGGGGGAAATGGTTGTAAATAATCACATAAATCTCTATATTGCCTAGGAAAACAAGACTGGTATCCTTCAAAGTACTTCTATCTCTCTTTTCAGAATTTTAAGGGAAGAGGGAATTCCTTTAACTCCTTTCTTGGGATGATTCATTTGATTGTGAATATTTGAATTTTCAGAGTCAGATTGGAATTTTGTTCACTAGTGTTATAAGCAAAAGTCAGGCTTGTGGAGCTCAAATTTACCAGGAGAAATGGACGAAGGACCAAAGGCAGTTTATTTAATGATAGTAAACTAATGGGCCATGTGGCATTGTTTTATTCTATAATATTAGATGACTTTAAAAAGTGTGCTTGGAGCTTTGTGACTGTACCATTGCAGACAGCATCCAGATCAAACAGTGTGGCCTTTCTTAGGATGGGTGTGTGAAGCTCCTTGTAAAACACACTCAAGTTAGTTACAACCCAAGTAGCCAAAGCACTAATTAACCAGAACACATATACTGCTTCATTTTTAGGAAAAAAGAAGCAGATGATACCAAGACAAGCTCATGACAGAGATCTAATCGTCAGATGTGTATGGATGAAAACACAGGTACAAATCAATCTCTTGTACCCTTTGGATCTTCCTCTAAATTGTGGCATAATGATCACTAGTATTCAGAATACCATGCTAGAATGTAGAGGCAGCAGAAGGTTGAGCAATCCAATCTTCAATAAGCTTTAAGCACTTTTTAAGTATGTTCAGGTGTGTCATGTATTCTTGATCTTGGGAGCAGAAATATGAAACAACAACAACCACAACAAAACCCAAAACCAAAGTTTTATCAGAGAGACTGTGACCCCAGCCAGTATCTGTCTGTGTTTGGCAAACCCATGCATCACGCACAGTGGAGCACCCATTCCACAAAAGAAGACTTCTCCCTGTGTGCTCAGATTCTGCTAGGGGTTCCTCCCATCCTGCTCAGAGGATCTCACCCCTCTTCCAAGTGCTAAGCTTTATTGCTTGTCTCTCCAGTGGGGCAATTTACACCCAAGTAGCTCCAGGCGGGAGAGTGGGTCAGTGTCCCTCCCATTGTGCCTTTGGGCTGCTGTTTCTTCACTTTCTGGTTCAGTCTCTTCATTCTGAAGCATGCATTACACTCCTTGTGGCAGCCGTTCCCTGCTTTCTCAGTCACTGCTCCTGCTTCACTAATGGCTTGGTTATGGGGTTCCCCACTCCCTTTCCACTCCAACTCCATCCACCAACTTAGATAAACTTTACTAGTTATGTGTGTCAGCTACTCAGCCTCCATGGAATCACCTACTCTGTCTCATCCATCTGTTGTCATCCTGTGGTCCTTGTCAGTACTTGGAACTACTGCATCAGTCAAATAGGGCGAACATCTAGCATCTCACTCAGCCTTCCTTTCTTTCAATTGCTCTGCCAATGGTCCCACCTACAACTGCTCTTCAGTAGGTGCTGTTAGTTGACTTGTCCTTCCACCTCTCATGGATTCATGAATCCATGCACCTACCCATCCATCAGTGGTTCTTTCATACCTTCTGTTTTCTTTGTATTACTGATAGTATCTGAGATCCATCATTTCAATTATTTTCTTGCAAATTCACAGCAAATCTCAACTCTGGCTGAACCTATCTATATTCTCCATGTCTGCACCCAAGCTGCTGAGAATAACTGGAGAAAAACACAAAGGAGTGCATGACCTCTATAAATTAATGGGCAGCAATGTCTTCTAGGCCCCCAACTGCTCGGTAACTTGGTCTCCAAATTTCGATAAAATCTCTTTTCAAGCTCATTCTATTCTCAAGTCTCCAGCTCCCTGTTCTCAGCTAATACTCTTGTTTTAGTTTCACTAGAAAAACGGAGGCTGGTCGATAGAAACTTCATTCAGCTAACTGTTTCCTTCTTTTAACAAAGGCCAACCATTACACATGCACTTTGTATTCTATCCTCTCAAGTTTTTCACAAGAATATTACTTCCTCTCTTTCTGGTTTTATTTCAGTTTCTTCACTTGTACATGCCCTCGTTATGTACGTGCCTTCTTATGCCAAACCAACCAGTCATCCCACTCAGCATGCCCGGGAAACCACATGCTTGTCTGGCCACCACACTCCCCTCCACTCTCACACTCTGGCCTCAGTTGCCTCTAGTTTCTCCTCTGAGTTTTTAGCTGCAATTTTCCACAAACCCTCAGAACTAACTTCTGTTTCAACCACTCTATGGGAACAACCTTTGCTAAAGTTATGGATTATTTTCATGCCACATAATCAATGTACTCTGATAGTCTTCAAGTCACATCACCTCTCAGAATCATCAACAAAGCTGACCACTTCCTCTTTTGAAACACTTTTTTGCTTTGGCGTCCATGATACACATGCTCCTAGTTTCCCACCCACCTCTCTGACACT